GATCAGAAGGAGGAGGAGGAAGAAGAAGGATGAGGAAGAAGAAGAAGAGGAGGAGGACGAGGAGGAATACAAAAAGAGGATAAGAGAGGGAAGAAGAGAAGAAAGAGAGAGTAGGAGATGTTGGAGAAAGTCTGTAGGAGAGAAGCGTAGATGGGAAAGAGAGGATGAGGGAAAAAAGTGGAGAGGGGAGGGAAAGAGTAGGAGAAGGAGCTGAAAGTAGAGTGACAATGATGTGAAGATAATAAGAGTAAAAGGTGCAGAATCTCGGCGCCTTTGGTACAACGTCACTTTCCTCTTTTGGGAACAATGATAGCCTGCAACTTCGCCTTGACCTTTGACCTAGCGTCTCCAAATTAGATCGCTCCTTCAATCCCCATTCCTCTTACCCAACTTTCTGAAGGGGGAAGGGAACTATCAGGAGAAAGCGCCAGGTCATTTCGACTATATAGCTCTTGGTAGGGATTAAGATAAGGATTTGGGATGGGTTGGGTGGAATGAATGGTGCCCAACCACTTGGACGGTCGGGCATTGAGCATGAGGCGAAACCGTCGCTGTACATACATTCACACACACATGTATTTAAAATGGAGCCTCTGTACGCCAGTTAATTGACGGTTGAGAGGCGGGACCAAAGAGCCGAACCTCAACCCCCGTAAGCACAATTAGGTGAACTAGAAACACACACACACACACACACACACACACACACACACACACACACACACACACACAATACTTGAACAACATGTGTACTGCACCGAGCTTTACCACGCCTAAACTGATGCACAGACAAGTCCTCCTCCTCCTCCCCTGTGTAAAAACCTAACCTGGCGTACCTGGATGCTGCGCCTCTTATCTCTGGCATCTCCCTCGTCTCCCTCCCCTCCCTCTAAGTAGCATCATATTCTGAGTAAATATAATGATTATTCCCCAGCCCTTAATACCGTATGCATGACTTTTAATTACCCCCAGAAATGAACTCATCACGGTTGGCAAAGAGAATGGATAATGGCTCCCCTCCCACTCTCCATCCATGGCCTGTTAGTCGCAATTTTTCAGACATTCCTTGCAACTTTTTTTTGGGTTCCTGTGTGTAGACATCATGTGCCATCTTCATCTGCCCTGTTTACAACAACTTTTATGAGAGCCTTGCATAATCTGGGAGTTACAAGACAGGTTCAATGCCAGCAAGTTGGTGCTGGTGACTTAGAGAAGAGTCCCCGGACAACGGGCACTGTTGTTAACGGGGCTGTTGGTAGACCACCGTTAACGGGGTTGTGGGTAGACCACCTCCGAGGGAGCTTCGATTTGCATCTCTACGCTTTAATTTATTGTAGATTCTTTCATGTCATTCAGAAACATCAAGAATAATCATAATGGTAAAGGAATAAATAAATTTATCATGTGCTCCACTATAATGGATTTTAAATGTAACTTGGAGGAGCGTCACTGTTGGTGTTGGTGTGTTTGTTTAGGTGTTTTTGTTTCTGGTGGTCTCCGGCATCCGGCTAATGCAAGAGTAATTAAACAATAAATTTGGTTATCTCACTGTTATTACCTCTCTCGCTGGCTACAAGACCCGCCGGGGAAGAATATGTTAAGAGCGCCGGTGCCATATGGGTAGCCGGCCCGCGGTCGCTCTCTGGAAAACGGACCATAAGAGCATGGTTTGATGTCCTGCCCCAATAATCCCCTCCCTCATCAATACCCGAAATAGTCATCTAAAAATTCCAATCATGTATAATATATATATATATATATATATATATATATATATATATATATATATATATATATATATATATATATATATATATATATATATATATATATATATATATGTATATATATATATGTATATGTATATATATATATATGTATATATATATATGTATATATATGTATATATGCGAACAAGCCTGAATGGTCCCCAGGACAATATGCAACTGAAAACTCACACCCCAGAAGTGACTCGAACCCATACTCCCAGGAGCAACGCAACTGGTATGTACAAGACGCCTTAATCCACTTGACCATCACGACCGGACAAAATGAGGTGATAGCCGAGGCTATTTGAACCACCCCACCGCCGGCACTCGGATAGTAATCTTGGGCATAGCATTTTACCAAATCACCTCATTCTTTGGGGCACACGTGAGGAACACAAATGCGAACAAATGCGAACAATTCCCCTGGTGTTCGCATTTGTGTTCCTCACGTGTGCCCCAAAGAATGAGGTGATTTGGTAAAATGCTATGCCCAAGATTACTATCCGAGTGCCGGCGGTGGGGTGGTTCAAATAGCCTCGGCTATCACCTCATTTTGTCCGGTCGTGATGGTCAAGTGGATTAAGGCGTCTTGTACATACCAGTTGCGTTGCTCCTGGGAGTATGGGTTCGAGTCACTTCTGGGGTGTGAGTTTTCAGTTATATATGTATATATATATATATATATATATATATATATATATATATATATATATATATATATATATATATATATATATATATATATATATTTATTTAATGTCCAGCCTATTACGCAGAAGAAAACGAACTCTTATCCTGTTTAATAAATATTAAGAAACAAGAAACGAATTTGTAACCAAGTTTAAGCTTTCTATTTGCTTTAAAGGTGAGATTTTTTTATTTACGTTTCTCCCAGAGAAACTTTAGCAATTTCCTACTGTTTCTAGAAATGTTTTTTCTAACTGAGAATTTGTGATCAGAACACAATTTCAGCCCTGCGAGCATCGGACTGTTCGTCATACTGTTACACACATATACACATGTTCGCACATACTGTTACACACATATACACATGTACGCACATACTGTTACACACATATACACATGTTCGCACATACTGTTACACACATATACACATGTTCGCAGATACTGTTACACACATATACACATGTTCGCACATACTGTTACACACATATACACATGTTCGCACATACTGTTACACACATATACACATGTTCGCACATACTGTTACACACATATACACATGTTCGCACATACTGTTCAAAACTCTCCAAAGTTTTGAGTTTTGCACAAGGTACAGGGAAATTGTCTTTTAGTCTTAATTAAGAAACTGATCGACAAAATACTGCTTGTGAGTGAGACAACGGAAAATGATGTTTGAGTACTTGGGGCAACCCGTTCTCTAATTCGTCTCGTTTTCTACGTCATGTTCCCCCACCGTACATATTACAAGTACTATGAAAAGTAGTGGCACAACAATATCCACGTTTTCTGTTCATGGGCCAGGTTAGGTTAGGTGGGTTGGTTGGGTTTATACGTTTCGGACTAGGTTAGGACTTTGTATTTTGTACGTTGTAGCATATCAAGAAATAGGGCTGTGCATACACATATCAGCACATGGAAATATATTCTTAAATTCAGCTATACAAATTACTTACCTCTACTATCTAACAAAATAAGAAAACATTTTGATAATTTCCATAACTTAAAAATGTAAGTGCTTCCCACTTTCATATTAAATCAATTACTGAGCTTTAATATAAAAAATATGTTGTTAAATGATATACTAAAAAAATAAAAAAAGACTCCTTATCCTACCTTGAGACGTCCGTTCGAGACCCGTCGTCCGTACTCCAGTGACGTTAAGGACTCGACTCCCGGCACTCATCGGAAGTATGCACTCAACCCGCACGCACTTCATAGGTGGTAACGGATAATGCAACCAACGTACAAATACACGTTACCGCTCTTCAACACACTCTAGATCCGCAAACAGGATTGTTGTCCGTTATTAGTCTCTCTAATATCACCAAGTCTTTCTGTACTCGTGTTGACTGACATGCAGCTCTTTAGCGTCTCAGTTCCAAATTTACTTTTGTAGTTGTTTCTTAGTTTTTTTTAAATTCTGCCGTATCCAGTTTTGAAATATATTTAGGCTTGCGTGTGACTGTTTTTTTTTCGGATAAACGCTTGCTCTCACAATCACCACTCGCTAACTCTCCTCACCACCACCACCACTCGCTAACTCTCCTCACCACCACCACCACTCGCTAACTCTCCTCACCACCACCACCACTCGCTAACTCTCCTCACCACCACCACCACTCGCTAACTCTCCTCACCACCACCACCACTCGCTAACTCTCCTCACCACCACCACCACTCGCTAACTCTCCTCACCACCACCACCACTCGCTAACTCTCCTCACCACCACCACCACCACCACTCGCTAACTCTCCTCACCACCACCACCACTCGCTAACTCTCCTCACCACCACCACCACTCGCTAACTCTCCTCACCACCACCACCACTCGCTAACTCTCCTCACCACCACCACCACTCGCTAACTCTCCTCACCACCACCACTCGCTAACTCTCCTCACCACCACCACTCGCTAACTCTCCTCACCACCACCACCACTCGCTAACTCTCCTCACCACCACCACCACTCGCTAACTCTCCTCACCACCACCACCACTCGCTAACTCTCCTCACCACCAACACACGCTAACTCTCCTCACCACCACCACTCGCTAACTTACCTCACCTCCCACCACCACCACTACACATAAATTCACCTCACCACCACCACTACACGTTAATTCACCTCACCACCACCACTCGCTAACTCTCCTCACCACCACCACTCGCTAACTCTCCTCACCACCACCACTCGCTAACTGACCTCACCCCCCACCACCACCACTACACGTTAATTCACCTCATCACCACCGGGCGCTAACTCTCCTCACCACCACCACCACCAATTGTTGTTGACCCTTGTTCCTAGTTACTGACCTTCGCTGGTCACTGATCACTAGTGACCTTAACGAACAAACCTGCAAGCAAGGACGTCTCCAGAAAAAAACCTGGACAGGAGGAGATACTAAACAGAGCGTGGATTAATAATAATCATGAATAGAGTGATAGCAATAACACCAACATTGATAATGAGAAGAATATCAGTAAGTAACAATAGCTGGTACAGATGCGCGCGCCACACTGGCATTCACCCGCCTAACGACAGGTCTGGTAGTTACAGTGTGTAACCGCTGTCCGGGCTTTTACGTCGCCAGGCTCTCTACAGGCCGGAGTCCAGTCTTTGACACCTGGTGAGAGTGTGTGGTGGTGGTGGTGGTGAAGTGAGTTAGCGTGCGGTGTGGTGGTGGTGAAGCGAGTTAGCGTGCGGTGTGATGGTGGTGAAGTGAGTTAGCGTGCGGTGGTGGTGGTGGTGAAGTGAGTTAGCGTGCGGTGTGGTGGTGGTGAAGTGAGTTAGCGTGCGGTGGTGGTGGTGGTGAAGTGAGTTAGCGTGCGGTGGTGGTGGTGGTGAAGTGAGTTAGCGTGCGGTGGTGGTGGTGGTGAAGTGAGTTAGCGTGCGGTGGTGGTGAAGTGAGTTAGCGTGCGGTGGTGGTGAAGTGAGTTAGCGTGCGGTGGTGGTGAAGTGAGTTAGCGTGCGGTGGTGGTGGTGGCGAAGTGAGTTAGCGTGCGGTGTGGTGGTGGTGAAGCGAGTTAGCGTGCGGTGTGATGGTGGTGAAGTGAGTTAGCGTGCGGTGGTGGTGGTGGCGAAGTGAGTTAGCGTGCGGTGTGGTGGTGGTGAAGCGAGTTAGCGTGCGGTGTGATGGTGGTGAAGTGAGTTAGCGTGCGGTGGTGGTGGTGGTGAAGTGAGTTAGCGTGCGGTGGTGGTGGTGGTGAAGTGAGTTAGCGTGCGGTGGTGGTGGTGGTGAAGTGAGTTAGCGTGCGGTGGTGGTGGTGGCGAAGTGAGTTAGCGTGCGGTAGTGGTGGTGGTGAAGTGAGTTAGCGTGCGGTGGTGGTGGTGGTGAAGTGAGTTAGCGTGCGGTGGTGGTGGTGGTGAAGTGAGTTAGCGTGCGGTGTGATGGTGGTGAAGTGAGTTAGCGTGCGGTGGTGGTGGTGGTGAAGTGAGTTAGCGTGCGGTGGTGGTGGTGGTGAAGCGAGTTAGCGTTCGGTGGTGGTGGTGGTGAAGCGAGTTAGCGTGCGGTGTGATGGTGGTGAAGTGAGTTAGCATGCGGTGGTGGTGGTGGTGAAGTGAGTTAGCGTGCGGTGGTGGTGGTGGTGAAGTGAGTTAGCGTGCGGTGGTGGTGGTGGTGAAGTGAGTTAGCGTGCGGTGGTGGTGGTGGTGAAGCGAGTTAGCGTGCGGTGTGGTGGTGGTGAAGTGAGTTAGCGTGCGGTGGTGGTGGTGGTGAAGTGAGTTAGCGTGCGGTGGTGGTGGTGGTGAAGTGAGTTAGCGTGCGGTGGTGGTGGTGGTGAAGTGAGTTAGCGTGCGGTGGTGGTGGTGGTGGTGGTGAGGTGAGTTAGCGTGCGGTGGTGGTGAAGTGAGTTAGCGTGCGGTGGTGGTGGTGGTGAAGTGAGTTAGCGTGCGGTGGTGGTGGTGGCGAAGTGAGTTAGCGTGCGGTGGTGGTGGTGGCGAAGTGAGTTAGCGTGCGGCGGTGGTGGTGGTGAGAAAAATTAGCGTGCGGTGGTAGTGGTGAGAAGAGTTAGCGTGCGGTGGTAATGGTGAGAATAGTGTGTGGTGATGGTGAGGAGAGTGAGAGTGTGGTGGAAAGAGCAAAGGTTTACCTGAAAAAAACAGCCACACGCAAGCTTAAATGCATTTCAAAACTAGATACGAGAGAATCTTAAAAAAAAAAACTCAGAAACCAGGACACGAGAAAATTAGTAGCTAAGGAGTTGTATGTCAGTCAACACAAGTATTGAAAGGCTTGGTGATATTTACGACCGTTAATGGCGGACAACGATCATGTTTGCGGTTCTATAGTGTGTTGAAGAGCGGTAACGTGCATTTGTGCGTTGGGTGCATTAACCGTTACCACCGATGAAGTGCGTGCGGGTTGAGTGCATACTTCCGATGAGTGCCGGGAGTCCAATCCTTAATGCCACGGACGGCGGGTCTCGAACGGACGACGTCCCAGGTAGGATAAGGAGTTTTGTTTTAGTATTTCATTTATTTTAGTTTATATTAAAACTCACGTAGTGCAGAAATTATATGCAGTACTAAAATTTTTCAACTACCTAATACGTCAAAATATTACTCTTGTTTCAGATGATAAAGGTAAGTGATTTTTAACCCTGCATTTAAAAATTTATTTTCATTTGCTAATGTGTGTATCCCCAGTCCATGTTCTTGATTTGTTACAACGTACAAAATACAAAGTATTAACCTAACCAGAACTGTACAAATTCAAGTAATACGTTCATTTTATTTTGTAAGTTAAATACTTTTCAAAATAGTTGCAAACTATTGTAATTTAAGTTCAATATTAGTAATAGTTTATACCTTTGGATCTATTTTAATGGAAAAATGAAAAACTCTCTTAATAAGACGATTAAGAGACAGCTTTCCCTGTGGGAATATGACTATCTTGGAGCACACACACACAAACGTTTCAGACGGCCTAAAGATGTCTTTAGGCCGTCTGAAACTTCTTGTTCTTAGGTTCAGGAAAGGAGGGAGGCTTAGGGAGCCGGCGGCTGAGCGGACAGAACACTGGACGCGTGATCCTGTGGTCCCGGGTTCGATCCCGGGCGCCGGGGAGAAACAATGGGCAGAGTTTCTTTCATCCTGATGCCCCTGTTACCTAGCAGTTAATAGGTACCCGGGAGTTAGTCAGCTGTCACGAGCTGCTTCCTGGAAGTGGAGGCCTGGTCGAGGACCGGGCCGCGGGGACTCTAAAGCCCCGAAATCATCTCAAGATAACCTGAAGATAACGAAGCAATATTTCAGAGATATGGCCTTTTAACCCCCCCATGTCATCAATTTCCTACATATAGATTTTATTGTCATTGGATTGATTATACTTTTGATGCCATTACACTCACACACTTAAACACACACACACACACATACACAGGGTCTTGTAGCTGAGTGGATAGCGCGCGGGACTCGTAGTCTTGTGGCCCGAGTTCGATTCCCGGACCAGACAGACAAATGGGCAGAGTTTATTTCACCCTGATGTCCCTGTTACATAGCAGTAAATAGGTACCTGGGAGTTAGACAGCTGTTACGGGCTGCTTCCTGGGTATGTGGGGGGGGGGGGAATTAGTAGTTAGTAACAGTTGATTGATTGACAGTTGAGAGGTGGGCCGAAACAGCAGAGCTCAACCCCTGCAAGCACAACTAGGTGAATACACACACACACACACACACGCACACACATGGGTGGGTGGTGGCTGAGTGGACAGCGCTCTAGACTCGTGGACCTAGGGACCGGGGTTCGATCCCCCGGCACCGCCGGAAAAGACAAATGGTCAATTTCCTTCACTCTGATGCACCTGTTACCTAGCAGTAAATAGGTACCTGGGAATAAGGCAGCTGCTACGAGCGGCTTCCTGATTGTGTGTGTGTGGGAAAAAAAAAACCACAAGCAACTAGGTGAATACATACATTTTATATATATATATATATATATATATATATATATATATATATATATATATATATATATATATATATATATATATATATATATATATATAATCACTCATATATATATATATATATATATATATATATATATATATATATATATATATATATATATATATATATATATATATATATATATATATATATATATATATATATATATATATATATATATATATATATATATATATATATATATATATATATATATATATATATATATATATATATATATATATATATATATATATATATATATATATATATATATATATATATATATATATATATATATATATATAATATATAATATATATATATATAATATATATATATATATATATATATATATATATATATGTTGTTAAATATGACCGAAGAAGTATGATTAATAAATCTAACACGAATTTTCTCAATATTTCTTATGTTTCTTTTTACTGTCGATGGTAATTGAAAAATCAATTCTCCAAAATTCATTTTTATTTCTAGTCTGACGCGACGCTTGAACGCGTTTCGTAATAACTTATTAGATTTTCAAAGACTTTAGTTTACACACACACAACTGTAACCTGAAAACACTTAACAGAGTTTTATTTATTCTAACGCTAAACACCTTGTCTTATATACTCGCATTTGGGTGAGGTGATATGTTGCAACAGTTTTGGATGAGGTGAACAAACTTTTGACCAACATAAGACAGAACACGGAACAATGGGTATTAATATCCATTGTTCTGTGTCAATCCCCTTCTGTAGGATTGGGTATTAATACCCAATCCTAAAGAAGGGGATTGTAGTGCTTTTAAAATGCTAATCTAACCTACATGCACGAATGTTCAGATTTAGGTCTTTCCTACATAAACAGTGTTCGAGGTATGTTTTTACATAGTGTCATAAATGTGATTTTACAAAGATAAATTATTATCCCATGCAGTGGTTGTGGGGGTGGTGGTGCTGCAAGTGATTGTGGGAGTTTATGGTGGTGCTGCAAGTGATTGTGAGAGTTTATGGTGGTGCTGCAAGTGGTTGTGGGAGTTTATGGTGGTGCTGCAAGTGATTGTGGTAGTTTATGGTGGTGAAAAAAGTGGTTGTGGGGTGTTGATGGCGGTGAAAATGTGATTGTAGGAGGTTGATGGTGGTGAAAATGTGATTGTAGGAGGTTGATGGTGGTGAAATTGTGATTGTAGGAGGTTGATGGTGGTGAAAATGTGATTGTAGGAGGTTGATGGTGGTGAAAATGTGATTGCAGGAGGTTGATGGTGGTGAAAATGTGGTTGTGGGGGTGAGGATGGTAGTTGAAGCAAAGGGTTGTAGTATTTATAGTAAAATGATTGTGGGGGCGAGGGGTGGGGGGGGGGGAGGAGTAGAGGTAGGAGATTAAAAAGTGAAGTTTTTTTTGTTTCATTTTCTTCACTCTCAGCTGGTGGTGAAACATTTGCGGTGCGCCGCCGGACTCGACCTTGTTGTCGACATAATTCTTCAGCACTTGTGAACCTCGTATTCCTCTCTTCCATTCTTTCAGGGACACTATACCTCTTCACTCAGCTCGCACTTGGGGTGGACGGTAGAGCGACGGTCTCGCTTCGTGCAGGTCTGCGTTCAATCCCTCGACCGTCCAAGTGGTTTGGCACTCTTCCTTAGTCCCATCCCAAATCCTAATCTTGATGCCTTCCAAGGGATATATAGTCGTAATGACTTGGCGTTTTACCCCGATAATTCGCTCCCTCCCCGCTCTCGCTCCCTACAAATATAAACGAAACTAAAAATATAATCGATACGAAAAGAATAATAACCAATGATATAAATGCACGCAGTCTGCTATCGACATGGTTCTAATTTTTTTTTGTGGGGGGGGGGGTGATTGAGAGAGGAGAGCGAGTTGGGGAGCATCAGCTCACTCCCAGAGTGCAATACTTGTTTACCAACATCAGCTGTTCGATGCTCGACTCTCCCTGAATGCAAAAAAAGATCTGAGATTTATGATTAGTAGGGATCTTACTCCCCCCCCCCCCCCCCCGCAAAAAAAAATATCTATGGTATTTGTATATGGAATAAAGCAAGTAGGAAACTGGGATTTATTTCGAGAAGAGTTAGTAAAAATGCTTCTAAATAATTTTTCACATTTAGCTTTCTTTTGCTAGGCCCCATTTAGATCATGCAGTTCAGCTTATGTGTCGCTGGAGTGTTAAAAGCGTAGAGTAGACAAATACAAAATATAAATATAGGTGCTCTCTGTACCTCCTAGATGGAGTGATGTCCCCCCACCATCTGTACCTCCTAGATGGAGTGATGTCCCCCCACCATCTGTACCTCCTAGATGGAGTGATGTCCCCCCCACCATCTGTACCTCCTAGATGGAGTGATGTCCCCCCACCATCTGTACCTCCTAGATGGAGTGATGTCCCCCCACCATCTGTACCTCCTAGATGGAGTGATGTCCCCCCACCCTCTGAACCTCCTAGATGGAGGGGTGCCCTCCCCCACCCTCTGAACCTCCTAGATGGAGGGAGGGGAATTACACCCCTCCCCGACTTGTTCCACTTATTCTCAGCTCAGACACTGAAAAAGTTCTTTCTGACGTCCCTGTGACTCATTTGCACCTCAAGTTTCCATCTATGACCCCTCGTTCGCATGTTCCTAGCTTTGATCAATGCAGCTTTGTCTACCTTATTAATTTCCCTTAGAATCTTATTTGTTGTTATCATGTCCCTCTTATCTCTCATTTCCTCCAGTGTAGTAAGGTCCAGCTCCCTCAGTCTTTCTTCACAGCTTAAGCCCTTTAACTCAGAAACGAGTCTCTGGGCTTTGTTTTTTAGCTTCACCTGGTCCTATTTCAAGAATGGGGTTCCATGCTGGGAATGCATATACAAGTGTTGGTCTCACTTTCGCTGTTTATAGGGGCCGGAAGGTCCCTTTCTTCAGATTTCTCAAGGATACATGGTTGTTGGACAGTATATAACTGTTGTTATTCTGCTAATGTGGGCTTCTGGAATCATATCTGGTGTGTGTGTGTTTTAGAGGGAAATCTTTGTAGTAGATATGATAGAGTAAAATATGTCGGGAATCTGTACATTAGACAACTGACGGTTTTTTTGTAAATAAAATGAATGAACTAAGTAGTGAAGTGGTTGAGACAGTACTCAATAGAAGGTTGGGAGGCGGGGCCCGAAGGCTGAATCTAACCTCTTGCAAACATAAATTTGTGAGTTTATAAGCAAACGTGAACAAATTGGCTCCTTTTCGTAAACATACGCACTCATCAAGGACAGTATGTAGTAACGTGAAATTCATGGGTTTATGGAAATTAATGAATATGAACCATGCATCTGTAAGGTTAATACATAGATTTGTATTTTGTATTTTAGTGGGAGTGCATTTTTTGACGCGATATTTGGGGCATTAGGGATATTCTCAATTATTTTTTTTTTAATTATCATTTATGATTTCTCCACAGTGTTCTTCTCCAGTATCGAGTAAAGGAAATTCA